AATGTTAGTAACATTCTAAAAAAAAAACCGAATTTACCCCCTATTTCAATATACCTTTTAATCCTAAATTCTGAAGTCCAAGTCCATATCTATGTCCGATCCTAAAGAAAATAAGGTGGTTTTTTTTTAAAAAAAAAATAAAATAAAATAAAATAATCAGATTATCTGATCAATCCGGTCATCCGCATAATGACCGATCAATCTGATGTTATCTGAGAATCACATCTAGATTATTCACGATCCGTTCATTCATAATCTGAATGATCTGTTTTTTGATCAGATCGGATGACGGATTGAACAGATTTCACTGGAACATACCTCTACCTACATAACTATAGGTATTCACTTAATCTGATTATAAAATATCATTCTGCGTAATCATCATTTAAAATTATAAATCTGATAAATAATAATAATAATTACTAACCTTCAAGAGAATATCAACGAGTTTCAGATATTTTTTCAAAGTTTGATCATAATTCTTTTTACTACTATAATTGCCTGATGAATTATTTCTCTTAACTTATCTTTTAAAAATCACATATCATCTTCTATTAGTTGAAAAATAACAGAAAATGCGATAATATGATCTAAAGGTGAATCAAGTAAAAAATTATAAATATTTTTATATAATATGAAAGAAGATATAATGACAAAAAATATAGTGTTAGAATTTCGCTGAAAAGATAATAAGTGATAAATAACTTGAATTAAATACACCTGCCTTTTTAAATCTCTTATAATTTCTTCATTCATGTCCTCCCTAACTTGCATTCATATTAAGAGGAAAGAGATAGGAGAAATATGCAAGGCACTTTATATTAAAAATTTTGTGTTAGAGAATAAGATATGTGAAATTTGTATTATAGATTTTAATATTGCAAAGACGTTGAGAAATATGCATATATATATATATTTTTATTTTACTTATTTGACTGCTTAATAATAAAGACCCAGTAATATCATATAAAATATACTTCAGTCAAAATCTAATAAGAATAGCCTGTAGTCCAGAAGGAAATAAACTTATAAATAAATGTCTATTCAGATAGATAGGAAAAAATTTGAAATATCTTTGAGGATCGATTTCTTATGTATGAAAATTAATTTATTGCATAAGCAGTCATATAGAGTTACAGCTGATTTTGATAATGTATCACCTATTATATCATATATACTTTAACAAAAATCGAAAATATGCTAATTTATGTTACATATGCTTTCAAACAATATATTATTTTATTAATATAATATTCGAAATCTAGATCAAGATCTGATCTGAAAAATTTAACGTAAAACTCACAATTATCATCTAAGTCTGTGAAATTCACAGTAATATTCTTTCCATAAATATAATATATGTATTTTAACAACGAATTGCATATAGGTTTCATTTCTGATAATTTAATCTTATATGTCTCGTATTCTGAAATTCTGATGAAGTTTATATAATTATACTTTTTATGAATACTATAATATTTGAGATTTCGTAACATTTTAACATATCAAGCCAATATGTACCTTTAACAACTATATAGCCTTACTGATATAATAATTTCTTAATAAGTATGTATATTACAAAAGATAATCATTGTCATAATTGAGCTCTTTTCTCATATATCTAACCATTTTTCGCTGAAAAATAATATTTCTCATACCAAATTTGTCCTGAAAAATTATATCCTTCATTTTTTATATCTAAAAATTTCATATTATCAGAAGTACCATTATTCCTCACTGTCTCCCAAACTCATTTTGTCAAAGATTCAAATCTTTTCTTGTAATCATATAAGCTTGTTGGATAACTGTTGCATAGAAATTCTCAAACTGATAGTTATATTATCTCGCAATCAAGAATTCTCAAGATCGCTTCATTGATCTTTCTGAACTTAAAAATACTTTAAAATAGATTAGAAGATCTAACCCAGAATAAGCAGATTATGCATAATATCTGTAGGTGATACATTTCACAGGCGATCATTTAGATTATATAGCGCAAAAAATAAATAATATTTCAGTTGAAAGTAATTAAATATTTTTCAGAACTAATCAGTCAAACTGGTTAAATAATCATGACCTTTGTCCTATCTTTTAATTTTAATACAATGTCTTTTGTGGATGATAATAAGTTATTTTGTTTTGCATACTGAGACGAAATAAATATTTCGCTTGTATTGCTTTTGCAATTTGATGATTGATAAAAAGTTGATAAAATTATTTCTTACCTGATAGATGAAATACAAGCTAGCTCAAAATTTAGAGTATTTGGCATAGTATTTTTTATTATAGTTGTAGTCTTAGCCTTAAAGTATGAGTAATTCTAATGATCTTTTATTAGATCTTTAGACTCAACTTCATAGGCTTATCTCTCCCAACTACTATAATATTCTTTTCTAAACTCTACTTCAGTAATCTTTACCAATTTTCAGCATTTAAAGCAAATAACCATTTGGCTTTTATAGATACTAGGTCTATAAAATTGGAAATAATCTTCATATAACTCATCATTAATATAGTATATTTTGGATTTTACTTATCTAAATAATACAAAAAGATAGAATATATAATAAACACTATATTCTCTTTTAGAAAGCAACTCTTGCAAAGTATCCTTGCACAAAAAGTCTATTGTTGAAGTATTTCATGAGATTTTATTATAGACAAATAATCATATTGCTTTTTTATTTTAACCACTTTTTTATACTGATAGTTATCAGTTTGAGGTTGATAGTTAAAAATATGTTTCATATCATATCCAGAACGGAGATTGATAGGTTTAGATACAGTTTTATTATAAATTCTATCTAAAATGATTTTAACTATATTATCAGACATATTTATTAGTAAATTAGTGATTTATATTATTTTTGTTAATTTATAACGTTTTTAATGATTTATAATGATTTATAATGATTTATAAAAAGTATATTATAATAAAATATCAGATTCATTTTTATTGCATATCGGGATTTATATTAGTTTGCAGATTTCGTGATTTATATTATGAGAGAGTAATATGAGAATTATTTAAGACATTAATAACTTCCTACAATCAAAAAGTAGACAGCTAAAATTATACGAAAATACCACACCTTACGCTAGTAAAATTTTTATTAATATACACATTATATAATGCAGTTACATTCAGAATAGCCTTTTTCCTTAAATTTGAAAAAAGAAAAAAAATATGTGACTGCATAAAAAAATTCACACACTTTTACCAAGATAACTATGTATTATTATTTAAGGTAAGCTAATTGTGAACTGGTATAATATTTTCGTCTGTTTTCATACACAATAAACTATATTTGTAAAGAATCTTCTTGTTAGATTCGAACACAGACTGTAAAAAAAATAAAAAAAGCATTAACATTAAATAATTTAAGTGATTTTTATAGTAAAACAAAAATATATTACCTTGACAGTAAAAAGAAGGTTAATGATATCAGTAATTTTAGTGAATGATATATATTTGAAAAAATAATCAACTTCCAACATGCTTTTAACAGCAAATATCTGAGGAGCTTCTGGATTTACCCTAAACAATTTGCCTTTATGCTCTATACATTAAGCAAATATCTTAATATAAATGTAGAAAATTCAATAAAATATTATGATAAAAAAATACTCACTGTATACTATGTACGCTAATACATAGTATCTTGATATTAACTTTATATCTCCAATTTCACACTAAAATAATTTACATATTGAATCCATACAATTCTGAAAGCTTTTGAGAAGATCTTGATGATACTTGCTATTCTTTGATTTAAAGGTAGTCCAATATTTTCAAAAATTAAAAATTCATGATCGCTATCATCATAATTAAAAAGAATACTGTCAGTCTTTTATGCCAAAACATCAGTATCGTAAACCAATTCACAAAGCCATTTAGAGAAGGAACGTCATTTTCATTTCTGTTAAATAAAGCTTGTTAGATCAGCATATATAAAAGTGAGCTTTATTGACTTAATTAAAATTACCATTGTAAGACAAACAGTCCTGGAAAACATAACTTTAGAAGTTTAAAATCCTGAGATATGACTGTTAACGTGTAAGTATTTTCATCTATTAATGATATGTCAAGCTAATTCTTATGCTTAGCTATTAAATGCATGAGTTTATATTCAAAAATTCATTTTATAAGATCAAATTGATCTGCATCAAATCCATCAATTTTTGTAGTTTTTCGGAGATTTGATAACGTATCAAATATTATACTGAAAGAAAACTAACAATAAATCTAATAAATGAATAAAAAGTATTACATAATCTTGCACATACTGCACAAATTTTTTTGTTCAGATTTAAAGCCTAGTGGTGTTAATATTAGTAGGAAATGGAGCGGAATTCGCCTGTTCTTTTAATATTTTTAAAAGATCTTTATTTGCAAGAAAATGATTTGCGCTAATATTTACAATATTTGCTTTGATCAACCTGTTTTCAATAAAAATGATCCATATTAAATGATTGGTTTGGAATTATTGGTGAAAACATTCAGTATTTTTCTTTATATTCATCATCAGATAAATTATAATCTTCTAATTTGAAGTTATTTATCTTCAACTAACATTTCTTACAAATTTTAGAAAGAGAACATACTTTTTAAGATTGTTAGTTTAATTCGTTTTGGTGTTTTATCTCGATCTTCTGATTGAAATTACTTCTTTGACATTCGTTTCTCATTATAATCTATCTTCTGTTTATCTCTAAAAGCATAATGTTTTCTATCTGTAGCTAACTTGTCCTAAGTAATATACCAAATAAATTAATAAAGCTAGAATAATTAAGAAATAATAAGGAAAAATTAATTTACCTTTAAGTTACTTTCACTATCTTCTTTTTGTATTTTTGTATATTCCTTAGTAAATTCCACAAAGTCATCAGAAACATGCCGATAAATCTTTATTACTGATTTCATATTATTCTATAATTGAGAAATCTGTAGCATACATATCAAAATTATTTAGTACAGATAATGTATTATAGCAAGAAAATCATATGTTACATATAAAAGGACAAGAAGTACCTTCATATGTTTTATTTCAGTGAGCTTAATAGCTTTTTAGCTTTCAATTTCTTCTAATTTCTGCTTTGCATTATAATAAATTTCAAGCTGTTCAAAAAATTTCATTATTGTTTGTAAAGAATTTTATAACTGTTATGCGAAATATGAAAGAAATGATTAAATAGTCAATAATACATAAACAAAAATTAAATACTTGTTACGCTAAAGAGCATAAAAAGTCATAATGAATGAATAGTCTAATATATGGTAATGAATAGTCCTAGTATTTCATAGGAAGCTGAAGAGAAGGACAGATGAACAGTTGATCGTCCAATTAACGAACAGTCCTCTGGATCAGTCTATAACTCTATTACCTCTTTAGATTTGTAGCAACAGAAATAACGAATAGTCATTTTATGATATATATAATCTTATCTCTAATATATATCTAAAAAATTTTTGGGTCACAGATCTGTAGAGGTCTGCAATTTTATAATTTCTACGCAATTCTTTGATACAATTCAACAATGATCTGTAAATACAGATTATAGCATTTTTTTTAAGAAGTTTTAGTAAGAAATATGCAAAAATGCATATCAGCTAATTTTTTATACTGCATATTTGTGCAGATATGCAAAAAGGCATATTGGTTAATTTTTTATACTGTATATTTGCGCAGATATGCAAAAATGCATATTAGCTAATATTTTATATTACATATTTACGCAGATCCATGAAAATGTAATCTTCTGAATAAAACATCTGTGATAATCTCAAAAATTCAAACAGTCGTAATTTTCAAATATGAACATACTTCAATTTTCAAAAATTCAATACATTAAATAGGATTTGTAAACATAATAAACTTTCAGATAAACTAAAATCTTAACTTTTTCAAGGTTTATTTAATTAAACTAAAACTTTGAAATTTTTTTCTAAAAAAAGTTTTTTTTTTTCTTTCGTACACCAACTGAAATTTTTATAATAAACTATATTCCAATAATAACTTCACTAGCCAGTCAAGCCCAATAATACTTTAACTAACGGAATATCTAGTGTCTTTTTATTAGAACATATATTTATTTAGTAAAAAATTATTTTTTTTGTCAAACCTCAGCATGATATGTGCTTCTTGACTGATAAAACCAATCAGAATTGCGCTATATTCTTTCATGTAAAATAGTTGTGGACAATCATAAAGTTTAGATTCTGTTTAATTGATATTAAACCAGCAAACAAGAACAAGTTCATATAGTTCTTTGAATAGCTTTCAAAAGAATTTAAATAGTAACAATATCTAGAAGATGTTCTGATATTTATTAAAGAAAAAATTACATTCAACATTCTTTAAAATTTACTTACTTTTCCATACTACACACCCTCATCTGAGTTGTATTGATCTTGATCTTCTGCAGGATTTACCGTCACATTACTGAACCATTCTTTGCCCTAATATCCTTCAGAAGTTCTTAAAATCTTACTACTTTCCAAATGAACTGATTCATAAATTTTAATATAAAACTCGTTACTTTCAGAATCCTGTGAAGAAGTATCTAGAAAGATATCTAGAGCTAAAATTATTTGGAATAATCCTTCGATAAAATTTATATGCGGCGGATTTTCTGATTTCTTAAAGTTCTTTATTTTTTGATCGATAGCATCTAGACGTAACTCCTAAAGAATTTTTTCAAACCCTTCGATTTTATGTTGAACAACTTTAGAAATCACCAGAAAAAATTCACTATGTTTTACCTATAATATTAATATACTAAATTAAAGATTAATTATATTTAATTATTTGAAATATAATAATGTCTGTTCAGATTTATACTAACGGCGTTTATTAATTGACGTATCACATTTTTCCTGTTAGAAGACTGGTAAGGATTTTTGATATAATACTTGTAAAGAGTCTCATAAGTTTCTGTTGATAGCCCATTTAAAGCTCTATATTTGTAAATTGCAGGGACTAACAAAATCAGATTAGTTATGAGGATATATTTACAATTGACTAATATACAGTTACTTGTATGATATCGCCAACTATGTAGTTTAGGAAAACTATATGCCGTCAATGATAACAAGAGAATATTCTCTTAAAGTCAGTAGTCCAATCAATAATTAATTTCTGCTAATAGAATTTGTTAATATTTTGCTAATTTTAACTAAGTTTTAACTAAAAATATAATCAATTACCTCAAATTTTTTTATATCATTTTCTGTATATGATGCTTTTCTATTCGTCATATACATTTTACTAAATTTTGAATAAAGTTCATAAAGTTCATCACATGTTATTTCATTTCATTTGTCAAAGATATCATCCAGAGCAAAAAGAGCGATTTTTATTATATTTCAATAATCTGACGTAGTAGCTATTTTTAAATGACTTAGTTTACTTATTAGCTTGAGACCAGAAAAATGAGGAATATTACGAAGACGATCATCAAAAACTTTCTGTAACTCTGTTTCTCTAACTTCTTTTAGAATATTCTGTAAATTCTAGTTGGTATTAAAAGAGCTCAAGATTGATGTAATACATCCGATCAGGAACGCAGGCTTTGTAAATATTCAAATTTCTGTAAAATTTTATTAAAGTTCAGTTTAATTGATTTAAATATACAAATATTTTATTAAAAGGTGATATTTACAAAATTTTCCAAAACACGTTTTCAACAGAATGCATAGAAAAGTCTTTTTCTTGGCCTCTTTGTATAACTTCCTGCATATTTTCATGAGTTCTGAGAGGCATATTATCTAATGTAATACTCATATTATTTAGGTCATTTTGCGAGACTATACAAGTATGACATGGCATTTTACTTCAGGCTGACTTGTATGTTACCATTATTTCATTTGCTTTAAGCATATCTGAAAGAAAAAATGATATGCGAGCTGCAAAACACATAGGCTGTCCTTTAACTCTAAAATATAGCCCATCAGATTTCTCTAACAGTGGTCGAAGCATGATATCGAAACATTTATAGAATATTTTACAGACCCCCGCCAAAAGTTTCTGAACGCTTTTTGGCTCAATGTAAAACTTAAAATTTTAAAGTTTATTAAAAAAATTTATTAATTTATTTATT